TACACCCACATCACTTTTGGTCAAGCTTCAGACAAAATCTGACTATCAAAAAATTTAAAATTATTAAAAGGGTTTATTTCAAGTATCAAATTAATGATAAAAATTATTCTTACATAAAAAATCCTTATGAAAAAAAAGATATTTTTGTTTTCGGTAAATGCTTCCAAATGAAGGAACAAAATGTTCAGAACTAGGCATTGTTACGTTTGTGAAACATACAAAATTTGAGGGGTGTGCATTGATTGAAATGCTAATAGGTGGGTTAAGCCCTATTCCCGTGTTTTTTTTTTTTTGTCGATCGCATGGTACCGTCGATTTCTCAGTTCTCTATGTACCGTGCTGTCGATTTTTCCTTGTGGAGGCTCATGTTGAGACTAATTAGATATATAACTACAGTTAATAAAGGAGAAATAGGTACGACTTTTAACATGGTGTCAGGGCTTGAAACTCAACTGGAATGGAATAGCGGATTTGTAGAACGAGCTGAGGCCCAGCACAAATCAGGAGTTTTTACACCCCAACAATCACTCCAGGCAAAGGTATTTCATTTCTTGTTCCGAAAAGAGTGCCTCGCTGATGAATGTGGTGCCTTGTAGAAGAATGCCAAGAAAACAGCCACCTGCCAGCTGTTGCAGAGGCTAAGCTCAGCCAATCAGCATGCAGTTGCTTTTAAAATGCGCAATATGATTGGTTAATGCCCTGGGTTAATGCTAAATAACCTTCTGCACCACCACTTTTCAGCAGTGTTCCATTTTTTGGAACTTTGGGTGGAAAATCACACATAATGGGTAAAATGTTTTCACCTCAAAATAAGAAACAGTGGCATTATTTCATTTTTGAAAAAAAATGTGTTATTCACTTCAACAGACAGGTTTCATATGACTTAACACTCCATAGTCCATGCATCCACATCCTTTTTTTTCAGATCCTGTCAAGATGCTGACATGAGATCCTGCTTTATCAATTTGCATCAAAAATGACATGGCACCCTTTTGCAAAAAAAAAAAAATTGTTGTACTCTTGGGTCTTACCTGTTTTTCTCATCCTTAGATTTTTCATCTTCAATCTTCATTGGCACAACCAACCAAAATCCAGTTTTAGAACACTGCTATTTAGCCTCTAGATTAAGTATAGATTATATACTACGGATATATAAATATACTCATAATATAACATACTCATATATAAAAAATCATTCTGTAAATATGAATTATTTCTTTTCCATTCATTTTAAAGGGACCCTCCCACCTTAACATTAGTTTTGAGTTGAGATAGCCAAGTTTGCGGCCAGGCTCAGAAACCACCATTTATCCTGGTCGCAACCCCCGCAGCCTTATGGTGTTCAATAAATTTCTTCCCCTTACTTGCAGGGTGGGACCAGCGTGGTCCCTATCTCTTAACCATTACGGGAGTCTGATGACGTCATCAGGCTTTCGAACATTCGTTAAATGTTTGACTAAAACGTTTTGTAGCACGCGGTGGTATATGCTGCTTTGCGCGCAACAAATGCCGCACTTTCAAATAAAGTCGCTAGGAACAGCGGAGATCCCAAAAAGTAAACAAAAGTAAAAGTCTAATATCTTGAAAACCGGTGAATATTTTTCGATGAAATTTGGTAGATATTCGTTTTTGCTCTTTCTGAACCGAGCGACATCACTTTCATGCCAATTCATTAACTTTTTTGAAGTTGGGAGGGTCCCTTTAAGCAAAAAATAATAATAATTTAACTACCTATAGCAAAAAAAACTACTTTAGGGAAAGTGGTATATCTCTTTTAACCCGCGCCCTGCTGGGGGGGGGGGTGTTTGAACACCCCCCCCCTTGTGGTTTTTCCCGCCGTTTTTGGTACACCTTATCATACATCAATTCTACACATGTTGTGAAAATTTTAGACCAAGGTCATTCAAGGTCAGGTCACCAGGTCACTCGAAGTGACCTCACCTCATAAAAAGTTTCAATGTCTGTCATAGCTACACCGAGTGACCGATCGCTTTGAAACTTTCAGCGATTGCTAAGAGCAATAGCATGTATAGTCGGTCAAATATGTATCTTTCCCGGCCGGCCCTCCCCAAGCTGGGCAGGTCGGTAACTTGGCTGAATCCGCCGGCCGCTGCGAGTACTACGGAGGGGAGGGGACAGGTTGTGCGGTTGCCGCGTCGGCCAATGAGCGCGGACCTGGCGAGCGGGCTGGGGCCACGGCGTGTTGACCTAATATGGTCAAAGCAGTGGCGGCGGAAGGTAATTTTGGATGGGGGTGCAAAGTTTTCTGAAGGGGCCCCTCTGGAAGTTTTGGGCCCCCTTCAGTTTTTTTTGGGGTGATTTTTATTGATTTATGAAAAACGAAGAGTTCGGAAAACTCTCCCCATACGCACAAGTTCTGTAAAAGGTTTAAAATTGCAGTGTACCTACCTGTCTCAAATAATGAAAGCATAAAGAAGCAAATGCAGCTAGTTTTTATCGGCTAATCTTTTAGTCTAGTCACCACCCGCAGCGTCTCAAACCACTTTTTCTGGATCCGCAGTGGACCATTGAGGGCTCTACGAGACCGTTCCAAGAAGACCGTGTTTAGAAGCCCCTTGGAAACCGACCACATAGAGACTCCTCCAGAGACCTACATGACTCCCCAGACTGAATGAGCCCTCCGATCAGGGTCGGTCCCTTGAAAGTTGCTGAAAGGTTTCAGAAGGCAGTATAGGCTCGAAAGTCTTTTGAGGGCTCTCAGAAACCGGCATCCGACCCCAAAAAAAGCCTGTATATGGAGGCCCTCCAAAGCCGGGATGGAGGCCACAGGAGCCGATGTTTAGCCTAAAGAGCTGGTATGGAGGACTGAATAGAGGAAAGGGGTCTCAGTGGGGCCTTCAGGGGCAAGCGTTTGAGCCCCAAAAGTATGTGTGGGGTCTTAGAGGCAGGTAGACCCCTGGGGTAGGTATGCACGGGGTCCCAGGAGCTCGCGTGTGAGCCCTAATATTCGGCTGGCGGCTACTAGAACCAGCATGGGGATTCTTAGAAGCCGCTTAGACCCACATTTCATGGGTCATGAGTCCCAAGAGTCGATGTAGGGGCCATAAAAGCCGGTGTAGGGCCCATGGCCCCATAAGTTCCGACATTGAGACTCTCAGAGGTCGGCGACGGGGCACCAAGAGCAGATAAAGTGCCTCAACAAGCCGACATGGGGCCTGAGAATCAGTGTGTAATTCCAGGAGCCTGCGTGAGCTCTCGGAGACCTTCGTATTTCGTAAGGTCCACAAAGGTCGTTGGATCCTCTGAATCTGAACTCTGCGGGACCCTCAGAGGCCAGCATGTCTCCTGGCACCTGCCTGCGTTGAGTTGAGACCCTCCGAGGCCGTCGTAGGGTTCTTCAGAGGCCAGCGTTGGCCCTTGAAACCTTCGTTAGGCCCTAGAAGCCGTCAAGAGGGCCCTCAGAGGTCAGCATGGCCCCTGGAGCCTGCCTGCGTCGAGGCCCTCAGAGGCCGTCGTGGGGCCCTCAGACGCCAGGCAGTGTGGGCCTTTGGAGCTTGCGTTGGGTCTTAGAGACCATCGTGAGGGCCCAGAGAGGTCGTCGTCAGGGCCCTCAGCCCCTCAGGGACCGTCCTGGGGTCCTCAGAAGTTGTTGTGAGGGCCTTTAGATGCCTTCGAGAGGATCATCAGAGGTCGTCATGAGGGTCCTTGGCCATATTGAGGGTCTTTATGGGCCGTCTGAAGCCAAATGGGCCCTCAGACTTGATTTGGGTCTAGGGCCGTCATAAGGGCCCTCAGAGACCGTCGTAGAGGCCCTCAGAGGCCAGTGGGGCCACTGGAGTCCTGTGGGACCCTCAGCGGTTGTCCTGAGGGCCCTTAGTGGTCGTTATAGGGCTCCAGGGGACAGAGTTCGTCGTGAGAGCCCTCAGAGATCATCGTAAGGGCCCTCAGAGGCCGTCATAGGGGCCCTCAGAGGCCAGCGTGGCCCCTGGAGTCTCTTTGGGGCCCTGGAGTCTCTGTGGGACCCTCAGCGGTCTTCATGAGGGCCCTTAGTGACCGTTATAGGGCCCCGGGGGACAAAGCCCTCAAGTGGGAGCCCTCAGAGATCGTCATAAAAGGGCCCTCTGAGGCCATCGTGGGGCCCTCAGATGCCGCGTGGAGCACCAAACGCGGCTCGGGACACTTCTAGCCGGTGTGGGGGCCCCAAAGACTAGCATGGGGCGTTCCTGACCATAATGGGACATCCCGGATGATTCCACATCAGTGTTCGTTTCCCGATCACTGGTTTTCAGGAGAAATGTATTGGATGGTGCGACGGGCCCCTTGTACGGATTTTGGGGGTGCAAAAAGATATGTTTGCACCCCCATGTTTTTCGATGGGGGTGCAGCTGCACCCCCTGCACCCCCTATTCCGCCGCCACTGGGTCAAAGGTTCATGCCCTGCGGGTATGGTCTGCGGCCAGCTGGCCCACTGATTGAGACACAGCACCGGGTCGCGGAAAGGTTTCGATAGGTATCTGAATTGGAGAGTGGAGACCGTTAGCTTGAACTTGAGTGTAGTCGCTCTAGGTTTGAGATGCCGTATCACTGCACCGTTTTTGAAAAGGGGAGAATTATTCAGTTGAGTGATGAGGGTAGAACGGTTGCAGAAATCTTTAGGAGGGTTGGTTTAGGAGGTTGTTTTAGGAGGGGGCGGTTTTACGCCCCCCCCCCCCCCCCCCCGTCTAACTCGACTCCTGAGCGTCGTAGAGACAAGCGGTAGGCGGCGTTCGAAAGAGCGATAAAAAACGTTTTTACTTCTGATACTTTTTCTTAAACAGCTTTTGATCCAGACAAGATAAAGGATCGATTCGAACGTCATCGTTCTTAGCTTGTCAAAGCGCATCGAAAGCTATATCATGTGACCTCGAAAGGTCAAGTTGAAAATTTGACCTAAGGTCAAGGTCATGACCTGACTGAAATAGGTCATGTTGCATATCATTCGATCCGCATTGATCAGACAAACATGATAAACGTCGAACGGAGTCTCTATTTCTATTCACTCAAAAGTTATTGCAGAAAACCCCCGCTGGTGACCTCAGGTGACCTCGGATGACCTAGCGACACCTTCCAAAGGTCACCGGTGACATCTTTCGGTAGAATGACCACCAGGGACCTGCAACACCATGATCCTGAATATATTGTGTGGATCGGGTGGCATTCAGATGAAGTTGAAATTTATCCCATTGACTTATAATGGGGAGGTTGTGAGATTGACCTGACCTCAGGTCATAGATAAAAAAAATCCGAGACATACATTTTGTGGATATTGTCACCCTTACTAACTCCTGAAAGTTTCATATCGATCGGTCAACAGTTGTAGCTTTGGTGCAAGTTCAAACTTTTTGTGACGTTAGGTCACTCAAGCCGACCTGTTGACCTGACCTTAAGTCATATAAGGTCAAAATTCGCACACAGTATGCGCAATAGATGGAAAAACAGGTATGCAAAATTTGGTGGCGCTGCACGCCGCCGTTTTTCGGCTATCTGCGAAAAACCTGGGGGGGGGCGCAAATCGCCCCCCCCCCCCCCCCCCGGCCCGGCGCTTTCAGTAGATATGGCTTAACGCTTTCCCGTTAATGCCAAAAAAAAAAATGAAAAAAGTTTTTGCTTTATCAAAAAATAACCGGTCATAATTCGATTAAATATTTCTCTTGCGCTAATCATCATATCACCAAGCATTCAATCGTATCAAGAGCAACCATCTTAATTTTTAGGTCAGCGACCCCTGTTGAAACACCAGATAATCCTTTGATAGCTCATAGCACTCAGTCTACAATTTACACGGCGCATGAAAGCACAGCCATCATTAGACCATCGCGCTGCCCTCACATTCGTTAGATTCCTAACGCATCCGCTTGCTCGCCTCTCCCGGCCAGACCCGCCGGAGCACCCGGCGGCGAGGCCGTCCAGTGCTGGTCTGCGGTCACTCTCCAGCCGGCCGCTGTGTAGCTCCGCCCCCCGCGCGTGACGTCACAGGGCCGCCAGAGCCGCCAGGGCAGCTGGGGTGTGGGCTCAGCCAACTATCGAATCCAGACCGTAGCGCCACTTGGCGGCCGGGAAAGATACATATTTGACCGACTATACAAAATGTATATCTCAGAATTTTGATATCGATGACCTAAGGTCAGGTCAATTTTGCGACCTCCCCATTATAAGTCAATGGGAGAAAATTGAAATGCGCCTCTTTTGGACGAAAGACATTATAAACACTCCCAAACACTGAATTACAAGTGGTTTAGACACACTGAACATGAAAATGGTGTCCGTGACCCCTGTTTATGCCCTGAGGTCATCTTAGGTCACGAATGGTATCGAACAGTTTTTCGTAAATAACTTTTGATAGAGCCATGCTAGAGCGATGAAAACGCCTTAGATGTGTTCAGCTCGACGATACGGATCGACTGATATGCAACATGACCCCTTCCGGTCAGGTCATGACCTTGACCTGAGGTCAAATTTTCAAGTTGACCTTTCAAGGTCAAGTTATAGTTCATTCGATGCGTCTTGACGAGAGGAACACGATGCCGGTAAAAGTAAGCTCGTACAAGGCTTGGGTCAAAAGTTATTGCAGAAAAACTGTTTCCGAAAAAATCGGCTATTTTTGCAGTTTTTGCCCCCTGCAGGCAAAACCGTTGACGTTAGGTCAAATCTGAGAGAATTACTCAGAAAGGGCACTAATAGGGCTATCGAATGCGCTTTTCCGCGGCGCTGTAGCTCTATTGGTTCCCGAGTTATGCGTTGGCTTCTTGGAAATTGTCTACATTCGACCTGGAAATCGGCGAAATTTTGCCTTCAATGACCTCTGGTGACCTGACCTTTGACCTGACCAAAAAATTGACCGAAGTAATTTCCTCATTATTTTTGACGCTCTTTCGAACGCCGCCTTCCGCGTATCGCTACGTGGCCCAGGAGCCGAGTTAGAAGGGGGGGGGGGTGTTCAAACACCCCCCCCCCCCAGCAGGGCGTGGAAATCCAGGACCCCCAGCCGGGCGCGGGTTAACATCAGAGGGCTGTTCACGGGCCCTGTGTGCGGCCGGACCGCACACAGCCTCGAAGCTCCGCCCACTTCGTCCCTACGTCAGCCTTTCGTCACCGCACACAGCGATCGCTGTGGCCGGTCGGGACTGGCCACAGCGGACCGTCCACCGCACGCAGCCGTGACGTCAGAACCGCCTACCCATCCCCTACCCCCACGCCTGCTGGACGCACCGCACACACCGCACGCAGCAGTGTGCGGTGCCCGTGAACACCCCTCAGGGAACATGCGTGTCTCTAACTTGATTAGGTACAATTAATCCTCATCTCATCTCATCACTGAAGCTCTGACCTTACATACTTAGAAGAAGGAACCTCAAACCTGCTGACTCCAGTACTCTGACTGAGAGGTGCATTGAGCCCAGGCATTATTTGTCTTTCATCTTTCAGACTGAACGATGAAACCAAGAACAAAGTTCATTGACAAGCTGTTTGTTTACATGAAAGGAGGAGCAGGTGGAAATGGTCTGCCAAAGCTGAACGGAATCGGCGGGAAGGGTGGCGATGTTTGGATCACCGCAAAAGAGAGTGGGTGACCGATGAACTTCTTGACTATTCACGTTTGTCTTGACAATTGTGCCTTGCTTATTACATAAATTGTACATTATACATACCTTCATACTTTCTTTTTCACAGTTTGACAAATTAAAATCACCTACTTTTGTGATGTTGTTTGACTATTGTACAAAGTACACTTACAGTATAGCAGCAACGTCAGCTGTTTTAATTTTTACCGTCGACAGATCAGACGCTGCGGAAGCTCAAGCTACAGAACCCGTCACAGCGGTTTACGGCCGGAGTGGGCGAGCACAGCCGAAAGTTCCGGATCCAGGGCGAGCCGGGCGAGGACCGGGTCATCCACGTGCCGCCGGGCGTGCAGGTGTCCGCCGCAGACGGCACCGTCATCGGTGGGTTTCGGGATGAGCCCACAGCGCCGCGAACGGGCCACGCGTTCCTGTCAGCAGTAGTCTCTCGTACTCATATCAACGCTGTTATAATGATCTCAGTTATCACATGTCTTTGGTTTGGGTCAGGCTGTATCGTAGCGAGCAGCGAGACGCGACATAAGCACCTTCAGTCAAGAATGGATCATGTGTCAGTGCATGGCTTAAATTTGTGTGTATGTTTTTAGTTGGATTTAGTCGGAGCAACAGCAGAAACCAATGAACATTTGAAATCATTCACAGGTAGTTATCCAAACATTGTGCGATGGGACGCTGTCAACCCTTACCGTCTAACTCCGCGCTCTCAGGTGACTGTAACGTGGCCGGTGACCGGGTGCTGGGGGCGCGCGGCGGTGACGGCGGCGGCCCGCACACGGGCTACATCGGCCGGCCGGGCACCGCCCGACAGCTCTACCTTACGCTGAAACTGATCGCTGACGTAGGCCTGGTGGGGTTCCCGAACGCCGGCAAATCGACCCTGCTGAGGGCGGTGTCCCGCGCCCGGCCCAAGGTGGCCAGCTACCCCTGTGAGTCCGCTGGTGGTGGTATGGTAAATGGTTGGCTGGGCCGGGGATAGCCAGTGGCCAGTGGCTAGTTCGGCGACAATAAACTGCGTCGCGGATAAAAAGCAGCTTGCACGTTTCATCATTATGAATTGGGCATCGAATATTGATCATGATGTATGTAATGATTGTAGGTTCGTTACTCAATAATTAATGAGGTTTTATTGGTGATATAAATGCCTCTTTTTGTGGTATGGCTTCGACTTAAAAAGTTCATAGCTTTCGAAATAAAAAGGCATATTTAGCCCTCAAGTGAGTTCTGCCCCTCCCGGAATTTTATCCCTGACACCGTTCATACCCGTTCGATTTCAGTCACCACCATGTCGCCAGAGATCGGCATTATTCACTACAGCGACATGCGTCAGATCTCTGTGGCCGACCTGCCCGGACTGATTGAGGGCGCCAGCAGGAACATCGGACTGGGACACAGCTTCCTACGGTACGGCGGCTGGTGCCTTTATCGGGGTTAGGGAGGGACGGAATAACCTTTTTTACGATGACAAGAGCAAAATAACGAGGATTGATTGATTGATTGTTTTCGCTGTCTTCAGAAACATTTGATATTTCACATTTGGTCGTGTAGTTTTCAAAACTGCGCCAACCCAAACATTTTATTTTCGATTCTGTTATACATTTGTTTGTTAAATTTGTTATACGATTTTGTAGTATACCGTCGTATAAGGAGTTTCGTGTGTTTATTGCTTTCTTGTCGGTCAATGGTCATTAAGGGTTCATTTATGCATAACGGACCGATGTTGTCGTTCCATTGCCGAACATATCCCGCCACTTGTCGCCTTGTTTCGCAGACATGTGGAGCGGACCCAGCTGCTGCTGTTTGTCGTCGACGTCAACGGCTTCCAGCTCAGTCCGGACAGGGTCAAACGGTCCGCCTTCGAGACCATCGCCATCCTCAATCGGGTACGAGAAACAAACTAGTTGACATCCATTTACTTGTTTCTACCGATCTGCTGTAGATTGAGGGACCGATAAAAGATAATTCGTAGACATAAGTGGTATTTTTATTTGACTGGCTAGTGAATGGAATGGTGAATGCTCATTGCTCACATGCCTCTGCATTTCCGACCACAGGAGATTGAGCTGTACAAGCCGGAGCTGCTGGACAAGCCGGCCATGCTGGTGGTGAACAAGATGGACTCGCCGGCGGCGGCAGAGACCTGGCCCGAGCTGAAGCGGCGCCTGGCTGAGGGACTGGAGGCGTCGGCCGCTCAGCTGCCGGCGGACCTCCGGCCCCGGCGGCCGGTCCAGTTCGATCACGTAGTGCCCATCTCGGCGCGCTGCGACCCCGAGTCCGTGGAGCGGGTCAAGGCCAAGGTGCGCGCCTGTCTGGACATTCACGCGGCGCCGCCTCCTGACCTGGAGGAGGTGCACCGGCGCATGCGCACTGGTGGTGTGGTGGCCCTCCATAACCGGACAGTGGACATGGAGCATGATAGAGGGCACCGCCGACGACAGCCGCGGAAACTACCGCAGCTGGCGTGATTTTGTCAGTTAGCTGAGATGAGAGCTGTGTCGTATGTGGGCTGTTTTGTTTGGCGTGTCTGCTATGCATGAAGTTTTGATGATGACCTTATGAACAGTGAATAACATCGTGCTATACACAGATGCATACCGCAGGTTGTTTTGCAAGCCCAGACCCATTCCCTCCGACGGGCAATACCGGGCGTCTGGAGAATATTGTCGAAGTTCAGTGTAGTCTGTCTTGGATTCCAACACTCTGCAGTACTATGGGGCAGACGGGCATTTTAATCATCGCCAGGATCTAGATAAGTGTATAAAGCTATTCAAGAAAGCATCGTTAGACGTTGAACGTGCCCAAAGCTGTGCCTTAACTAATTCTTTTGATCCCTTCGGTGTCAAACCAATGACGATGGCCTCGGCAACAAAGGGACGGAGCACGAAGGCTGATAAAAACATGAAATCTACTGGACATGAATATTTATCTGTATTCCTAGAAACACTTGTCACAAAACTGCTGAAGATAACACAGCATTGGGTAATGGGTATCATATGGGCGACAGCTTGGAGATAGGTCGACAACTCGACACAGGAGGACCAGCCATTGTAGTTGGACATATCTTTCCACGCATTGTGAAAGGTGTGATGTTGAAAACCAATCAAAAACAGTAGTCTGAGGGCGTTATTGTCCCTATTTCCCCTTATCCTGTCCCCAACACCCCTTTCCAGTCCCCAAAGAATGAATGAAAAACCCAAAGTACATATATTATAATTTGATAGCTGTATACCTGGGAGGAATGTGTTCCAAACTCTAGTAGCGACTAGTGTTTGTCGTCTCAACCTTTAAACTAGAAATATTGAAAATTACGTTTACATCTTCCAACTTTTAATCAATAGCCAATCATTAAGAATTTATATTTCAAATTGTATGCACTTTTGTGTTGAATACCGTAAAAACAGCATAAATAAAATATGTTTCTAGTATAAATACCGACGTCACCAAAAACGTGGATGCCACTGAGCTGCCAGTTGCGGGAAATCTTGCGCAGCCGCCACGCTGACGCAACTTGGTTTTGTTTTGGCTGGATTCTCTGCCGGTATTCTGTGTGCTTCTTGACTTATTTCAGAAAGTTAGGTCACAGAATAACAGTTAAAATGCCTGCCGCCAATACGGGTGCGAAGTTCAGTAACGAAGAAGAGCTTCTTCTGCAGGACTTCAGCCGTAATGTTTCGACCAAGTCATCAGCCCTCTTCTATGGAAATGCATTTATTGTTTCTGCTATTCCTATCTGTAAGTTCTATTGTATTTGATCCATTTTTGTCACCAGAATACCTACTAATTATTTTTCCCATGTTTTATTGATCATGATTAAATTTGTCTTCCATGTTGTCTAAATCTGGATTCTCGTAATTTTTATTAATTTCAGTTGGGCAAACTAGACTTTTGGAATCAAAATATGGAGGCATCAATAATTTGATTCTGGTGGGAGGAGCCATGACCAAATATGGGCATGGAATCAATTTTTTGATTCATTTAGGTACACTTTTGACTTCAAATTAATCATTACGGTTGAAAAAAGGCCCATGACGGTGAGATTTTTCTTTTAAAAGGTAGAAAAATGTGGTAGGTTTGCAAAAAGTGTTACCTCAAAGCTAAGAAATTGTCCCTTTGGCCTTATGAATGGGAAAAAGACAGAGCCACTGTCCATCACGTAAAAGCTGTTTTGAGGAAATCACACTGTATGTTATTTTTGTATCATGAATCACATACTAACCAATCAGTATTTGTGTAAAATGGCAAAATGAAATTTTTAAACCTGTAATGATCATTGTTGTAGTGCTTTTATATTATTTATATGGTTTTTACCTGTTGCTTCAGTTTTTGTATTCTTGACATTTAAAAATTGTGAATTGTTATCAAATGTACTGAAGGTAAAGTACAACAATGCTATAGGTATCAGTTGTGGTGCTGATGATACCACTAAATGAGAATAATAGCAAGATAAATGCTGTATTCTTGCAAGTCATTGTTGCCTATCTGTTAACATTACCTGTGAATCAAAATAATGATTAGCCAGCTGATGGGGAATCAATATTATGATTATCTGTTTAAAGTGAATCAATTCCTTGATTGCCTTTCACTACCTATAGAATTCAAATTGTTATGATAGGAGCAATATTATTTTGCTTAGGAGATAGTTCAAGCATTTCTGTTCAAGATCAGGCATGCTCCTTCTTGAAACACTCTCTTATTTTTATGTGATTGGTAAGTTAGAAATGGTCTGCATTAATGCCCAAAAGGAATCAATCTTTTGATGCCTCCATATTTTGATTCCAAAGGTCTAGTTTGCCCAACTGATTTCCGGCTGGGTAGTTGCCTAGCCTGCACTTGCTGTCTTTATTTAAATACACATTGTAATCTTAACATCATTCAAGTAAAAAATGTGGCTCATCATCAAGAGTATTTAGCATGGTTAGCATCAAAATCAGTTTTGTTCTGTCATTATATTGATGAGTGATATGAAATCAAAGGTAGGCAGCTGGTGGCTAAATCAGTGTTTTTTTTTTGTTACTGCTTAAAGAGTTTTTTATCAGTTTTTTTCAGTTTGGGAAATGCTGTTTTAACAAGTTTTCTGTAAAAGTAACAGATTTATCAATGATATGGGATGTCAGAATCAATTGGTTTTGACTTCATTCATTCATATCATGCATCTTTGGTAGGTAGGTTCCTACCCTGCCTGGCCAGGAAGGCAGGGTAGGCAAGGATCTCCTACCTATTGCAAGGATCTCAGACTTGGCTTCTGTTCAGATGTACAATTGGGTCCAGCTGAATAGTTTGGTAGTTCCATTGTTAGTAGCACTAGTCCGATTAGATGTGTCATTGCACTATTTAGCAATGGTTAGGACTTGGAACAATATCCAGGGTAATAAAGTATCCACCTGACACATCAATCCTCATCCTCATTGTGCTCACCTTGGTGGGCTGTGCCTAGAGGACATCTGCTGACCATGTGTTTGTCCTGTTTCACAGGGCTGTACTGGAGGATCCACATGATGGACCTCTACTCCTCCATCCCCATCTTCCTCATCATCACACTGGCCTCAACCTACCTGGTGGCCATGGCATACAAAAACACCAAGTTCATCTTGAAGCATAAGGTATGCATTGGCTGATCTTGCCAAGTGGACTTTAAATGTATTTCTCTGACTGTTGATGTCTTACTGATAATAAAGACCTTGGGGCCTGGCATCTAAATTCTGGCATGTGGGGACTTGTTTTTTCTTGAGGTGGTTTGAATGCAAAGAAAAGCATTTATTTTATTTCATTTGGTTTGAATGCAAATAAAAACATTATTTTATTTCATTTTTCTTTGCATCAGTATTTTAGTTTGTGACATTGTGTTACGGATTAGACAATGATTGGGCATTTACCTTGTGCTGTAACTAATTCTGCCTTGTGTTTAGAAAGTTGCCTTAGTATTTTCCAATGTATCTGTAGTCTGAGATGTGTCATTTATGGAACTCATTGCCGCTAGCGGAGACTACCGGTGTGGCGCCGCTGACCGCTGCCGTCCCCGGTGCTCCGCAGATCGCCGTGAAACGCGAGGAGGCCGTCACTCGGGAGATGCAGAAGAAGCTGGCCGAGGACAAGAAGATGAGCAAGAAGGAGAAGGACGAGCGCACGCTGTGGAAGAAGAACGAGGTGGCCGACTACGAGGCCACCACCTTCTCAATCTTCTACAACAACGCCCTCTTCCTGGCCATCGTCATCGTGGCCTCGTTCTACGTGCTGCGCTCGTTCGCGCCCACCTTTAACTATGTGCTCTCGGTGGGCTCGGGGGCCGGCCTGCTATGGCTGTTCTCCACGGGCACCAAGTAGGCGGCCGGTACTCTGGCGGGCCGCTCGGCCGGCCGTAACGGGTGGGGAGGGAAGGTGGCGCCAGTGTGCCGAGAGCTGGCGCGGCGGAGCGCGGATGAGCTCTGCGCGCTCATTGACTGTGTGTTATGTCACCCAGATGACTATTCCGTTCGTTTTTATTTCCGGGAGATTGTGGGAAGGTAATAAACTGTACCTATTTATACGTCAAGCGTTTAGCACACACATTCCTTCGAATATTCAGATTTATTTGCTCTACGTGCGATGAAGAATTTCGCCGTTCAGCAGTATACCCTTCAGTCCTATCGTTTTTTTTTTTGTTTTTTTTTTTTGCAACGTATCCCGCGGGCTCCAGCGGATGTATGTCACTAAACAGAAGGTGAAGGCCGGGCTCACTGTTCAGTCGATATAAGATGCTAGCAACATCGCGAAACGCTTGGCACTTTAAACTGCGCTCCATGTGGTTTTTGTCTCTAGTTATTGCATTGTGATTGGTTGATGGGGCAAGTTACACCACAATGGGGCTACAACACGCGTACCTTTTCTGTTAGCGTCACCTATGTGTAGTTCTAAAAAGCTAAAGAAAGCTCCATATTTAGCGTAGATGGCAGTCGGAGCTGAGCTGAGGCGATACTGGACTTAAGCGATGAGTCGACCACCGTCCACCCGGAATCCCGGGGACAGTACAACTGGCTATAGATTTACGGGCTAATGGGCTGATTGACCTTAATCACCTTATTGAAATTGGTATGCATGGTTTACAAGCTTAGAGCCTAGACTGTTGCAAGGCTGTGTGGTGGACACTAAGGAGCCGTTAGTCCGAAATGGACGTGCCATGCACTTTTTCACACATTTTTTTCTCGCTGTAGGCTTAAACCCGATCACTCCGTCCCGCTGGTGTAGCTGTGGCGAGTATTTTAATTCTTATGGAGGTTAGGTCACTTGACGTGACCTTGTGACCTGGCCTTGAATGACCTGGATCTGAAAGTTTCACAACACGTGCAGAAAAGTTGTATCGTGGGGTGTGTTCACGATGGTAGCTAGGCTATATGTATACTCGTATAATTGCTCCACGACCCAGCCAGGTTATCCACCCGACGCAGAGCGGCCTAGGAGGGCGCTTCTCGGGCGTTCGGCAGCCCCGAATTCCCTGCTGATGCCATAAACATCTGTAAGGTAAACCTGGCCGAACACAGCATGTGGCAACGGTGCCTGCCAAAGGTGCGTGAGATAGGTGGGACTGGTGTCAACGGACAGTATGTATTCCCCATAACAAACTCGAGTAACTGACCGGCGCTGTCCGGCGTACCAATGTTTTCGATGGAGCACTCAGTGCGGCGGGTGCTTCCGGCGACCTTCAGCCGAACTGTCAAAAACACCGCCGGTCGGCGACGTCCAGGTGTCGCAGGTGACGTCACTGGCCGCCGTCCGACAGGTGGAATAATTCGGGACTCGGAATATAACTGAGCGGACTGGTGATAATCCCTCAGCAGTCTGTAGAAATGCCCGCTAACGATGGCGGAGTACGTACCTAAATCGTTATTCAGTCGAACTGACTTACCGTGAATGCCTGCAGCCCTGAGCCGTCTGTCTCTATAGCCTGAGGGATAATTCAGCAGGCTAAGCTAAGTAACTTGTCGTGAATCTTCACACGAACAATAATTCCATTAGTTGTGACCCCTCCCACACCATCAAACGTGACCTCTGACCCGGCCGGAGGCGGTGTCGGGTAGGGAGTCGCACACCTCCCCCGTCAGCTGGGTCTAGCAGCCAGCCCGGCGGACCGGCCCCGCACCTGGCAGGCCGTGGAGTCCGGCCGGCCGGTCGGCCAGTCCGACCCAAAGCGCCGTGTGGTGAGGTGCCGCGATATGTGGTACAGAGAGGAAACCCGACGGGGCGGGTCACGGTGGTGGTGAGGGAGGAGTGAGGGAGGAGCAGGGGAAGAGGTGGTTGGTGAAGTTCAAGAAGTGAAGACTAGCAGAAACATGAGGACGTTTCCGGTGAGTATTATTCGTGACCGTATAAAGTTAAGCTCTCTGGTGCTATATAACAATAAAGAAGTAAGAACGTAGGTAATTTTTACATTTTAGACGTTCATCTTTTTTTGCCCATTCATGCGATATCTTTAGGAACGTTATTCCTTCTTGGATAACTCGTATGATGCCTTATTTTGAAACGGTGCTTGTTATTGCAGATTTAACTTTTCAGTCATAGATGACGGTTCGTTTTCGTTCGTTTTTGTTCATTAGCTCTCGATCAATATGAGTCATAGAGTTAGAAATGCACTATACGCTCGTTGTACGAAAACGAAAATGTTCGTAAATTGCTGTTTCAAATGACATGCAATACGAGGTCTTACGGCCTGGCCTGAGTTGAGCTCATCTGCTCCTAACTTTTCGAGGCGAAGGTCATCATTCACTTCCCGAGCATTCGCATCTGAAATCACATCAAGATTCAACTAATTAAGCTTTTGTATCTATTAAATCGACTAACGTTATTATACGTACCACATGTTGCGCCTTTTCGTGCAGATTTGCCTCGTCAGTACGTCATAACACGATTGAAATCCAAAATATACGGATCAGCGATCAAATAGAGACTTACGTGTGGGGATTTAATTAAACGGCGACGTTACGTTTGGTCGGTTAATGCGTTTTTCCAAAGGACAGATAAAAATGATTTGTCCTTCAAGACGTTAATTGAACATCTTTTAATCATTCCTCGAAAAAGTCGAAAATCTGCAATTCGATGAAGTATTTACACAAAAGTTTAAGGGGAAATTAATTTTCATTTAATAAGCAAGAAGCTGTTTTGTTGTAAGATGGACAATCGTTTATATATCTAACGGTACATGCCTGGGCCCCAATAAGAAAAGTTGACGTTGCGTGCGAACGTTTAAAATTGAATGTTGCGGTGCGGCTTCCCGAGCTAACGCACTTCGCAGTGAGGTGCGCACTCTAATCCGGCGAGGAACGCTGATATAAGCCCGTGTCGTGTTTGAGTGGTTGTTATTACCCGTTCTGAGGTGTCCAGGCGGAGGGATTGCTTGTCATTTGTAGGTAAAAAACGCTAGGTAAAATGGCGGAACACACATATAGTGGAAAACACCGTACGAGTGTCAAGCAGCAAGGGGCTCCCAGATTCAGCAATTTTATTTTAAACGGACATGCTTCCTCATTGCTTTGAAACTTCAAAGACTTGGTACGCTTTATTTTGGGGCCGGTACGGCTGGAGGTATCTGCATTCTATAATTAATAAGTTGTTTATCGACTAACCTTTTTATATTTCTATAGCGTTTTTATTGAAAAGGTTAAACAGGCCATCTCAACAGTTAATTATTCTTTTCAATTTGAGCAATGTTTGGTCGTTGCATCATAAAGCTGGTCACATTTGACCGATAATGCTTGAGCGTTCTAATGTTTTCGATTTATAGCATAATACGTCGAATAGTCCTATACAGTATACACCAAAGCCTGGCCACCACATGCTCCGCTAGAATCATCTCATTCTCATAGAAACACAGTGTTTTATCATAATGGATTCCGGAGCGGACGAGTGCTCGTCAGTGAGTTGATGGTGGGCCTACAGCTCCATTACTGGCCCGGGGAGCGCTCTGTGTCGGCACTGGTCTGTTGAATATGCAGCCGCTCCCGCCAGCCTGCCGGCTGACAGCAGGCTCCCAGTGGGAACATGACTGCCCTCGCTCAGCAGTGGGAACCTCACCGTGGGGTGTCGACGCAGCAGGCGCACTTCGAGGGGCCAATGTGCCGCCACGAGCCCGTATTCATGCTAACGATTAGCCCTGACGCAATTGGAGCATTGCGAGTCGAAAGTCAGAGCAACGGAACCGTTTAAAGCTGGCGGTACACGACACAAAATCTCAGGTTTTCCTGCTGTTGGTGATTATTGCTCTTATCACTGATTTGAACCGCACTGATAATGCAGAATGGCTCATTTGCAGCCATTTGTTTTTAATATTAGCTGAAGCTTTGCTTCCTCGAGGCTATTTTATCGCTTAACCCTCGCCCATGTAGGGGGGGGATTGGTGCAACCCCCCCCCCCTGAGGTTTTTCGGAAATAGTGCAAAAACGGCGGCGCGCAGCGCCGCCAAATTTTGGGTACCTTATGGGGCAAACCTTGCGCATCTTTTGATAAAAAAAAATTTGACCGGGTCATGTCAGGTCACGGAGTTATGACGTCACAAAGGGAACAGCCTCCGGCCGGATTTTCACAAACTGAGTGCCAACGCCCGAGGTTTCCTGCCGGTGGTACGGAGATCGGTTGATGGATCGTGATGAAACTTCCCATGCATGTTGGGGCAAGTATTGGCTATCATATGGTATAAGAAACTTGACCGGGTCAGGTCAGGTCACGGAGCTATGACGTCACAAGAGGAACAGCGTCCGGTACTATTTTTGAAAAGCGCCCGAACCACTATTTTGCTAATTCTTGTCACCTCAATGGGAATATGCAGCAATATTAGCTTCTATAGGGAGCAAATGGACCTCCCAAATCCAAAAATACAATCAGATTTCAAAAATTTAAATTTTGATTTTTCGAATTTCTGCCGCCGACTGTGACCTTGCCGACTTCCGGCGCTCCCAACGCGCCATTTTTAGAGCTAGGGAAACGAAATACATACCAAACGATAGAGAATTGATCAAGGAACACGATAGTGAAGGTTTCAAGTCGATATCTCCCACCGTTTTGCCGCAATCGCCGCCGAAAGTTGAAAAAGGTCTATTTTTCCGAAAATTTGACCTTTGACCGGTCAAAAGTAGGTCAAATGTTGACCTAGGACCAAAAAATATACCACCAATCGCGAGATCTCGGCGAGAGCAATCCGTTGGTTTTTTCCGCTAAGCTCTACCCCAGCCAGCAATTCGCTTGGGCTGAACTGTGGCAAACGTCGGGCAGCTTGGGCTTAGCTTGGGTTTGCCCAATTTGATAAAAACCAATGCATTTTTTACTAGGGCTGAGCTGGGGCATGCCGCAGCTATACCCACGTGCGGATAGCAGTAGCTCAGCCCGACATCTGCCCGCGCATCCAAAACAGGCTTAACTTGGGCGGAGCGCGGGCTGATCAAGCTGGCTGTGTCCTTCGGCTAACTGGAGTAAAGTCGGAGCTTAGCCATACTTGTTCGGCTGTTCGCGCATGCGCAGTTCTGCGCCAATCATGTGCAGCGTTTGTGACAGTCTGTGCGCTGTGCGACGAAACGACACACCGGTGTTGGGGCATTTGGTGGTTGATGTTTGGGCAATGGGCGCGTGTGACAGCGCGAAGAAGGGATAGTGCTCACTGCTCTTATCAAGTGGACTAGCATGGAGTTTTACGGTAGGTAAGTGTATTGAATGGTGCGCTTGATGGTATGTAAACGTCATGATTTTGACTGAGTTTCACGCCATCAAACATGAAACTGAATAGCTGTTCAGCCTGGCGATTTATACCCTCGCTCAGAAAAGCCGCATTCCCTGCCTTTATATCTTTGTGAAATTCCAGCACTTCTGAACCAGGAAAATGAAATACAAAACACAATTATTTATCTACTTATCACCGAGTACGCTCATTCTCTGTCCGCGTCGAAAATCGAATGATCATTTTATACGGATCAATGAGAAGTGCTTTTACAGTATTAATGCAACAATAAGTTATTTTCAAGCAAACATGCAATGTAAATTAAACCAATTAATCTCTTTTTCAGGTATGTACCATTAGAGCAAATGGTTAAAAAAAATGGAAAAGTTATACAAACCAGGATCGGGTGGACGCCGCAGTCGCCCTCGCCAAGTGGTTTAGCGGAAACTGCCTGCTTATAATTAAGTAGGTATACCTACATATACGGAAACTGCGCCGAAAGCTGGCCGACCACCTACTGCAGATGTGTGTGTGTGGAGGAGCCAGACGCCTCCAAAGCTCCCATTCACCAGAAAGAAGTTCCTTATAAACGATTGTTTGCTAATTGCTTTATGTCTTATGAGCGATTACTTGCTGTCCTTACTTTATGCTTTCGGTTGAGTGTTCAACCAAGTATTATGAACGGGGAGGGAGGCTAGCGGGCCTTTGATTGTTTTATATAATTTTGATGGCGCTTTTTCATGACTCATGCCATATTATTGCTGCAGTTTGCAGTCCACTGTTTCATGTATTTGTGTTTCATTTGAGAGTCTGCAGTCGCTTGAAATATACATTCAATCAAAGTCAATCACTACTTTCCTTTCGCAATGCTCGATGACCGGTTAACAGAGCATATGAGTGACCGTAACAATTTTAAATATGCATTGAAACCGCACAACCTGCTGAAAGTGCATTGGCTGCTCCTTGCTACTTGATCCAGTGTGAAGCAAAAGCAAGATGAAGTCAAGTCGAGACTTGAGAAAACAGGAGCCGTCACTCGAGCTGAACCCGAGCAAAGCCACAGCAGTTTGCAATGTATAAACCCCATTCACTTCTATGGCTTAAGTCGGGATAGACAGGGCACACAGAGTGGGCTTGCCGGAGCTCAGCCCGCTCGGGCCCAGAGTAACCTCCATTATATAAATGGATTCACTGCTCGGGCTTAAATCGGGCTAACGCCAATCGTCGCTCAACTAGGGCTAAACTACGGCTGTCCGGAGCTCGCAGAGCGGGCATACCTCCGGCAGAGCATGGGCTTTAGTCGGCGTTTTTGTGTCATACGCCGACTTTAGCCCAAGCCCTAGCCGACTTTAGCCCGACTAAAAATGTCGGGCAATCCGCACTTGAGCCTGCTTGGGCCCGGAGCAAAATTGCTGGCTGGGACGACGCTCCGTTTTCAAACGCCAAGGGGGGGGGGTCGCACCAACCCCCCCCCCCCTGCATGGGCGAAGGTGGCAGATCGCCGTTTACGGGCGAGGGTTAAAGGGACCCTCCCACCTGAACATTAGATTTGAGTTGAGATAGCCAAAATGGGGTCCCTGGCTCACAATTACCGGTTTCGGCACTCACAACATCGAGAAATGCCTTAACTCGAAAATATTGAAC